TAGCTGTCTGAACTGAATAAATTATAAACTGTTTATAAGGAGTGAATCTTGCACAAGTGCTGTAATTAACAAAACATGTTGATCAGTCTTGTAACTTTTGTAACCCCATTTCACCTTTGTGTATCTTTGTGTATAGTTTGTGTATTGCTGTGTAGTCACAACAATACATCCAGAGGAAACATGTTGGTATAATTCAGAGAAACTGACACACAGTGAGAAGGGAGGAAAACATTAACTCTTAAAAATAAAATGTTAGTTTATTTCTGTTTGCATATTTAAATAATTTCCTTAGATGTATTGTTTCCCATATGAAGTAAGCTTTGAAAACTTATTTCATAAATGATATCATTTTATTTTATAACAGCAATTTGCAAACTGTTTATTGAGTAATAAAAATGTTTTTGGAATACTAAAAGACCAAGGTAAAGGAATATAAGAATGCAGAACTACTTATCATCAATATAAAAACAATAATATATTCACTTCTACAGTACAACTATTTCTCTTTGGCAACAGCTACTTGGAGTGTAAATTTAAGAGGTCAGCTTTCCATTCACTTATATATTTCCCCACTAATTATAGTTTTGTGTTTTTGTGTTAGATTTTACAACATTTTAACTCTTTCTAATGCAGTTAGCAGTCATTACTTTTTAACTTCGAATTCAGCACAATTTGTGGGGAGGTGAAAAGTAGATTAGTGTCATAATGCTTTTGGATCCTGCTCTGTGGGCAGAATGGTACAATACTGAGGGACTGACAAGACTAAGAATCAGTAATCATGATGATACATCATGAAGAAAATATAAATTAAGAGTTTAGAGAAAAAAGATTGTATAGATCTCAGTGTACATTTCTTCACCATTTTTGTGCAAAGGCAGTTCCCTTTCAAAATAGGTCTGTCACAATATCCAGGGTGCTCTGATTGGATAGAGGTGAAGAACCACATGGAGTGTGTAGGTCTTTGTTACTACTACACACCTACTTGGTATGTGGGTTATGCAGGCTTAGACAATGCATCAGTTGAATTCCAACCAAGGCTCTGACCAAACCTGCCACACGGGCCAAACATGAGTTTGGGGGCTTTATCTGACCCACGGGCCATAGGTTTAACACTCCTGGTTTAAATCCCCTTAAGGCTTAATACATTAAACTATCTGAGAGCTTTCTGAAAAATTTCCAGACAATGTTTTTCTTGTGATAATACAGTAGAAATGCTCTCTACATCTCCCTGTTTCCCCTGAAAGTCACAAGTTGAATGAAGTCTTATGTTTTCGTCTGTGTAAATGAAGAGGCAAACCATTAAATAGCAGTACTCAGCATGGAGAGAGAGAAATTTGACATTTTAATTGAACTCTACATTGTTAAAAACATTAGGTTTGGAATAGCTAGTTGTAGAAATAAACATTCTGTATAATGTGCAAAAAGCTTTAAGAGATTTCCATCATCGCTGTTTTGATCATTTTTCTTGAGGTCGGGTCTTGACTGAAAACCTTTGTTTAACGATTGTGTATACATTGTTGATCTCTTCATATTAAAAGCACACACCTCTTACCACTTAGGGATAAAGATGCAGTCTTCAGTTTACTCTTCCGCATGGTACATGGGCTCTGGCAATTTAAACTTCACAATATGGTGGTTTGTCCAGTTGACTGATATGCTGCTTGCTTTCTGTATGTTTAATTGACAGTATTGACTGTGTATCTACAAGGGAATTCGTTTCAACCAAGTTCAAGTGTGGTAGAGGGATCAGAGGTTGATTGTTACTAGTCCTCCCTGCTGTGGAGTAACAGAATATGAACTGTGGCATTTAAAAAGCAAGGAATTCAAAAATTAGTAAAAGGGAGGTTCCTCCTAGGTGGTTCAGTATTTTAGAAAAATAGATCCTTTCATTCTAAACTACAGTGCATCCTTATCCCTATTTTTATACTTAAGGTAATTATGTAAAATGGGCTTCTCTTCTGAATTTTGAGTAGTTTTATGATTGTTGCTTTAAAAAATGTTACAACTTGCATAACTGCATAAACTGAAGATTAATTAGCTGCCTTCAAACTGCCTATACTGTCAATGGCATAAAATCTATAATATCACTGCTGCAGCCCTCTCCTCATTTTGATGCAGGCTTCAACGTAAGACTATATGGAAGAGTGCTGGAGAAATTATAAATGAACCTTAAGACACTGTTGTTTACTGCACTAAATAATGCATCAGCAAATCTGCCAGCCTGGTTATTACTCTTATTACTCAAGGACTTCCTGTAGGGAGTTCAGTATACCATTTCTGTGTCCCAGTGGCACTCATTTAGCGCTTTGGGAGTTTAACAGTAATGGACAACTCACATGCTTGTTGCAGATCGGTTTGAGCACTTTGTGGTTTGTCGTCTGGGTCTGCAGTGGGTTCCTGGGTGCTACCCAGGGTTCCGCTGTATAACAGATGGCCACTGCCAGTCAGTAACAGAGTAAAAGAAAACGTAAACATTATTATTGCAGTACTGTGCTGTTTTACTGTACATGGCATTTTCACTTGGGGACTTTAAGATGGATTTACTTTAAATTGTGAAAGTTTTTTGTTTTTTTTAACCTAGGATAAATTAACATTTGTCCTCTCAGTTAAACTAAAAGTATCTATTACATAGTAAATAATGTTTATGCTTCTAATAGCCTAAAACCTGATTTCTATTGATTCATCTTCCTTGACTCCTCCTCACAATGTGGCAAATGGGAAGATGAAAGGTGTGCTCATTCATCATAGGTACTTTGACAGATGTACATTGTATAAGGGTGCAGAGATTGTATACACCATGAGACCAGAATTACACAAACCACACACAGATAGCACCCAAAGTCCAGAACTTATCCCAGGGCCCCAACACTGCAAGGCAACAGTGCTAACCACTGCAGCAGTGTGCTGCCCCCCATTTTCACATTATTACCAATGTGTAGTTACTCATTTTAGTCACAACCGGATATGATTACAAAAAAACAAAAAGTTATGATCAGTGTGGTATACTCTGAAATCAAAACATCTGTATTAAATTGAAAATCTTTTATCTGGGTTTGAAAAGAAAGATTTCTGAGATTAAAATGTAATGTTGTGCATAAACATCATCCCACTAAAATCAGGAGCATGTCTTAAAAGTTGTTTGTTTGTCTAAAACCCTTAGAAATCATGTATTAGCATTTTGAACCTATGGCCACTTCTTAATAAACCTTTTTGGATATTTGTTGCCAATTCCCCCACTGACTGCAGTGCATTTACCAAATGCATGTGATGTTGTTAGCCTGAGGCCTTTGAACAGCAAAATCAATGTTCACAATATAGAAGGTGCAGTAATGGCAAAGACTATGTCATTCACTGGCAAAAAGAGAAAGAGGGTTGTAGGATCACAGCAGTCCAGGAGACTGAAAATAAATATTACTCCATTTATTTTTTTGATCGAAACAAACTCTAAACACAATGAAAACAGTTTTTTATTTATTTGGCAGATAGAACCTGCCAGGGTTTTCCACGTCCAAGAGGCATACAAGGGCTTCATTGTCTGCAGTGCCCTTGAAAAGGGGCTGAGGCTGCATTTCCTAATACGAAGTAGTTATTTGGGTTATCAATATTTTTTGTTGGATTTTCTCAAACTGGGGCAATCTCCCTAGTTTCAGGTCTAATAGGGTGGCATATTGAGTCTCGAAAGGTCACACAGAGGTTCATCTTTCTGATCAGATTTCTAGAACTGTTTTTTCACAATGACAGTATATGATTTGAAGAATAATAAATGCATTCTCTTAAGGTTTTATTTTTAGCACTGCCCCTATAACCTCCTTTTCAACTCACTTTCTCTTCTCTGAGATAAAATGACTGGTGGGCTGGTTGATAAAACTGGGTCTTTAAAATTCATGCACTGTAACATACCCATTTTCCAGCACCAGTTCAATATGTGTAGTGAAACTTCTGAGTATCTGAGTATACTGTATCTATCACTGTATCTGAGTAGTGAGTCAGAGGTGTCCACCAAGGACCTTTGCCTTCAGAGTTGGTAACTACAGGTGCTTCATTCATTTCTGCACATCAGGAGCTATTATCAGTAAATGTGATGGATAAGTGCCATAGCTGAACAATGGTTTAGTAATGATGAGAAGATTACAGTCACAGGGGGTTGATGGAAATCATTAGTAGGACTTGAGTTTTGTTTTGTGGCTTTGAAGAATATCAAATCTCATTGGTCTTAAATGAAATGCATTTTTTTTTGTCAGTTACTTTTTTAATCAGCATGGGATCCAAGAATAAAATATAAATAAGCAGCGTCCAAAACTCAGCTAGCTAATATATACAACCCAGACCAATCAAGCACTACACAATATAATCTGTTCCCTTTCAGCTATTTAATTGTTAGATTAATTGATAATTAATTCAGTCACCTACTGCGAGATCCACTGTGGTCCTAGATTTTGTGGGCTTGTGCTTTAACTTCCCAGACAGATAATGGGTCAGCAGTATTGTTCCTACAATGTACTGTATATCCACTTCTGGTAGCAGCATATCTTGTAGTTTTAAAATCCTAACATATGTGCCATGTACAGTACTTGTTTCACAGAACTGGAGTTTCTGGTCCATCTCTCTCATTTATTTTTATTCATTGAAACAATATATTCAAAAATAATTAATTCAATCAGCAGGTTATATATAACAGGTTATACTTAACAGCCATGGCATTTCTTTTTCACAATCTATACCATTTTGTGTGATGGTGACTGATATCCACACTGGATAATTTAAGATAAACCTAATTTGTAAAGACTCATATACTTACATGTTTATTTAATTTATAAAGTGTCTGAACTATCAGAATAGTGTATGTTTGTATGGCTTGCTTAAATATATGTGCAACATTGGTTTTATCATGAAAATATGCGGTCTATATCAGGGGAAATTTTGAAGGAGGAAAAAGACTTTTCACTAACTGTTTCAAACCCATATTTAAAAATGTGTTAATATTCTGTTGTTTTTTACAGAAAAAGCAAAGGACAAAAGAACTCTCTCAACTGTTCCATTCATATAACCCTTATGATCATAAGGTAAGACATTACAATTGCTTATGCTAGTACTGTATGTATATTCTTTCAACTGAAATTTAATTACTAAAGCTGGGTTACTAAAGCTTGGGAGTCCTTACAGTTAAGCACTGCTAATCATTCCGAGTGAGGGCTTCTCAAGGATCTTTATAGTGATATCCTTTCCCATAGCAGCAGAATAAAAAAAATGTTTTTGTTTATATGTGTAGTCAGAGAAAATTGTTCAGGAATTATTGCTTTGTTTTGAAATTACTTTTAAATTGTTCTGTTTGAATTTGTTCCTTATTTTATGTACAGTATATTGAATCCCTTTTATTATGTGTGCAAGAGGAAAGAAATACATGTATGGAATTAATTCAAATAACTTCGTTAAGCAGTAGTACTGAATTCCTGTTTTTAATGCTGCTTGGCTTTGTTGCTGTGTTTTGTACAGCTCAGTACAAAGTGGTAAACTGCCTCCTCTTTACAAGAGAAACTTCAACAAAAACATGTTTTCCACAAAAGGCTTTTTTGTTTTTAGTTTTCTATTAAAATAACACTAATACAAAGTGAAGGATATGGCAGAAGAAAAGGTCTGCATAGCTTTGTCAGTTATTGAGCAAAACAAAATGACAGTGTCATTGATGGTGGAAAATAGTATTTAGTTGAAACTCCAAAGAATTCTCTGGCCTTAAAACCTGGTGTACAATGAAGACTTAATGCTGTAACGAACAGTTCTTTCCGGACCCTATGCGGACGACACAATCCGACGAAGTGGGGAAACACTAGAGAAACGTCATGCAGGAATACGGGGCTGAAGACAGGGGGGCGTGTCCAAGGTGCGCTGGTGCACGGGGGAGGTGTGGCCGAGGCGAACAATCCCAAAGAGTAATCCTTAGAGTATCCAAAAACACACAAGAAAGTCCAAAACCAGGAGATCCATCAAAACACGAAGTTAAAACCACGAAGGCCAGGTCGGAACCGGCGGACAGGGAACAGGAACGGGAACAGAGGTTAAAACCTTAACGGGACCAGGCACTTCCAGGTCCCGGATTCGCACGATACGGGAATCAGATGCAGAGCCCGGATTAGCGTCAGCGCCTGGCTTTTAAGGTGGGCTGGGAATAGGAAACAGGTGCACAGAATAAAGTCTCACGTGAAAGGGCTGGATCACCCTTAAGGAGGGGGGACTAGAATCGTGACAAATGCATTGCACAAACTTACAGTCTCTGCAAGTTCTGTATCAGTTGCTTAATGAGCACATATGTATGTTCTTTTCATTTTCAATAATGAGCAGATACAGTAAGTTTGTTGATTATTTCAGTTGGATTGTTCATTGGGATAACAAAAATAGAACCATATTTCATTATACCACCAGGATCTTTGTGTTTGATCTGAATTAAAATTGCCAGAATGATTAAGAATCTGTTTAAATAGCCATTTAAAAGCAATTCAGACAGTCCTATTGAAAGTTGCCTCTATATACAGAACATTGCTCCTCACTTACATCATTAATAAATTGTGGAGCTTGACATTTGCACTTTTTAAAAATTGTGCATCAACATTAAAGTTTAGTTTTTACTGCCATGCGCTTCCTCACTGATCCAAGCAGCAGCTCAAGGTTTGATAACTTGCTTTAAATGCATGAACAGTATGTAGGAAAACCCTCTGCTCTAAAACAGTGATTGCCTTTGTTGGTTTCGATAAGGCCAATTTGAAAGGAGAAGGTGATGCCATCAATTTCTAATTTTTGTTTTTATGGGTTTCAGGTACATTACATACTGTATACAGTATGTGTCTGAACTATATGTTGCAAACTTACCATATGTCAAACTAATTATATGATGGAAATTAATCCCCCTTTCTAAGAAATTTTTTGGGGGAGGGACCTTCTGTACTGTATTTGGTTAGCTAAAAGTGAAACATACACTGTATTCCGTTAATTATTATCAGAAAAGCCACTCACTTTAAGTTACATTCTTTCAGTCCTGAACCCTGCATATTTTCGTTGTTTTTATGGGAAAAAGTTCACCTTTCTACACTGTTTAACTGATGTTTAACAATACATCTTTCTGGTCCCTAATGCCAACTTATGTTGGGGATCCCCTGTACACAAAAACAATTAAACATATGACCACACCCTGCTTGAGTAATGAAGATCACCTGGCTACTATCAGTGTGAATAAAGGCAGCATGTCGGTGAAAGGTGTACAAAGAATCGGAAGCTCTGCTTCAGCAAATAGACTAGTTAAGAGAAATCTGGGAAACGGGGGCTTTGTTATGCACAGACAGAGTCATATCTGTAGTCCAAGTCCGTCAAATTTGTCTGGTCTGTGACCAGAGAATATTTAAGGTGGTGCCAGAAAAGGTGGTGAAGAGCTTTGTTCAATTAATTTCATTTTGGCCTTGAAAGACAATATGTGGAGATGCAATGATGAGTTTTATACTGACTGCTGCTCAAGTCTTATATACTACTATTCAACCCAACCAGTGGGGCAACAGAATTGTAATGATGTGTGGAGGACCCTCCTTTACCATAAGAGCACTGTTGCGGAACACTGGGGACAACCTTACTGCTTTCAATAATTTTCGCTGGATAGGACCTCAACAACTTTGGGTGTGCGTTCTTCTTTCTTTTCTATAGTGGGAGTAATATAGAAAGCATCATTTTGTTTTTGACGCTTAGAGGTTAGAGCAGTATGTCACAGTGCAGATGACTTCCAGGTGTCTTCATTCCTAATGTACAGTTCAAAATAGAAATACGTAACACACACAATTGAAGGAACATCACATAACTAAAATAAAACAAAGCCATCACTCCACTAAAATTCCTTGTTTCAGAATACTGTCTCAGGGATAGAGAGTAGACAGACAAACCAATTTTTTCATCATGATATGCAATACATGCTTGTGGGGAACTTGGAGCTAAATCATTTGAAACAAACTTTGGTGGGTCTGATATTTTGCTCATTTTTCAGTAACATACAGTAGGTCTGAACCAATAGAAGAACTTCTTTTTATATTTTCATTGACTGTCAGTTATAGATCATATGATTTTGTCTTTAAGCAAAGGTTCTGCATTCTGACTTTGTTAAAACTAAAAATAATCCTAAGTTAGAAAAGAAGAAACTGATACACATGAAGTGTCACATTTATTAATATATGTGACCAAAATTAAATCATTATTTTCTTTTTTGTGTTATCATGCCAGGGTTTAAACAGAGTATAAATTATCCAAAATTATTTTTGGTTTTTATTTTATGATGATCACCTTAGCTCATTTTAATTACATTATTAAATTTTAGCACTGGTGAACACTATTGGATCCATTTTCACCCTATAAAAATCTATTGTCATTCTAGTGAGTTGTTCCCCAATTCAGTCTGTTCGACAATTTCATAGTATTCCTACATCTTTTGAACTAATTACTGTTTTGTGGTGTAATCAGTGCAAATTGAATTGCCCCAAAATGGAATGAAGCTCTTTAAAAAGGTATTATAACCAGAAAAATATTGTTTTGCCCACACAACAGAAAGAGTTCATTCATAGATTGCCTTGAAAAGTACTTCGCTGAGTTAACTCAGGGTGATTTAAATCTATGAAGTCTTACTTGGTCGTTACAAGGCTGACTTTAATCAATTCTTCTGCTTGTCAGAGATTATGCAACAACTGAGCAAGGATGACTATTTTTTGACTATAGTTGTTAATATGAGATGTGCAGTTCTAAAATAAAAGTATTTTACCCGTGCTGTTTCAATATTGAAATGTAAACTTAAAGGGGCACTTAAAAATCCAGAAGATCTTTACTGTCCTTTCTCTACCCATGCCACCTGATGTGTGGTGAAGTGTATGGTAATAACAGAGTTAGAAACGCCTCTGGTGATTAACTTAGCTTATGTCATGGATTGTAACTGTAAGTGTTAAGACTTTGTTTTTACTTTGAAGCAAATTTAAGCATTAGTATTGATTTAGCTCTTCTTAATGTGCTTGGGTTGTCTGTTTCATGCTCTTTACAAATTCTGCCCTTTTTTAAGATGAGCTATGGTTTGAATCATCTTCATTTATGGGAATTTTCTGGTTAATTTTCATTGGTAATATAAGATGTCCGATAGCAGATGTTATAATAGTGCTTTAAATCTTGGGATAAATTATTTTCTGTTAAATAATCAGCAGAGTTTTTTATTTACTAATCAGCAAGTTGACATAAGAGCAGGAAGAGTAGAATCCCATAATCTCAGGTATCTATTGTTTTATTAACTTTTGTGTGGTAGTCATTAATAATATATTTTTGCACACTGAAATATTGAAATTGTAATGTTCTCAAAAGAACAAAAAATGAATTTAAGCCACTTAGAACAAATATTTCTGTCAGTACTCCTTAGCTCTAAAGAAGTTCTCTGCAACTAAAAGATATGCTTAGATAATCAAAACTCTCAGTATATTTAAATAGACAGCGTTAAAGAAAAACAGCATTAAATTAAACAACACTGCTTAAAAATGATGTCCAACTGTGAGAATAAATACAGGATCAGAATCAAAGCAGTGAATTCCATGGTTTCATGGCTTCTAATCAGACTAGGCTTATTCTAGAACGTCTCCTGAGTGCTCTAATGACACCCGGGCGTCCTTTCAGCACGCAGCTCGATGATATCAATAGAGCTAACTGAGTTAAGGGAGGTCTGTTCTGCTAAGTAGAAAACTGGGGAGCCTTTAATTATCACAAGACTTGATGAACACTGCCTAAAATGTGGCATGAGGAATAATAAATAAGCACTCATTAAATAATCTGTCTTTATTCATTTGTTAGGTTGAATACCTTCTACTTTTAATAATTATTTAGGAGTGAATATTGATATCATTTAGGGTTTTTTTTTTCTACTCTTTGTTCCCTGATCTTGTTGGTATGCATTGGATGCACATTAAGCATACATTTCATAACAGTAATTTAAGCTGTTCTTAGTGTGATTACTATTATTGTTCAATGCTATAATTTAATTTAACCTAATATGTTAGGACTTTAAAAT